CGATCGTGCCCGTTGCACTTAAGCTTTTAAAAGGGAGTTTAAGAAAACCACGACGGCAACGGCAACGGGAGCGTCGCGAAACAAAAGGTTTCATGGGCACGAGCAGTACAATGGCTGAACACGTGTGTTATAAGTCTTAGTACATTTCTTTACCGTCCTCTGCAAAACAACAACATGAAATAACCAAATTCTGCGTTGTCAGGATAACCACGTGCACCACGTAAACCACGACGGCCATTTTTCCTATTTTTATTTCAAATGTTTCGCCCTGTCCCAGATTCAGTTCCGTGATAGCTTTAACAGTGAGAAACAAAGGAAAATGACTTTAGGGCATCGCGAGACTCGTAGCTAAAATATAAAATCTTTTTTTTTTTTTTATCGACGACGTCTTCGGCGTCACTTCCTGGTTTCTTAAACTCCCTATTATCTCGTGAACTCACCGAACATCGTAGGATTCGCGTTGACGGCGGTCAAATGAAAGAGTTTTGTCGAAAAACATTTGCAATTGTTTATTAAAAACGGGGAATTAATCGAAATGGGACTATAGTCCAAGAGTTTCCAATTAAATGGTTACGTTTGATGTAGAGATTATAGATCACTCTCCGACGAGGAAAAAACAAACCAAAAAAACTTACCTGAACACTTTCTCCAATCAGTAGGATCAGGTTTGAAGAACTCGTTACATGAACAATTGTAGCTTCCTATACTGTTGGTGCACTTCTGCATGCAGTCATTTGAAGGTTCGCATTCATTAATATCTGCAGGAGAAGTATTAAGAAAATGTGATTGTTGCAATTCAGTTTCTAAGTAAGATTTCTTAAGGTAAAAAGATTGTAATATATACTCATTTACATTATGTGCGGTCAGCGGGGATTCAATCAGATGATGCTCCTAAAGGAATGTGTGACAATGTCAGCCGCTGTTGTGGCATGCATTTCTGTAACTAGACAGAAGTGTTTTTTCATCCCTCTCCCTCCCTCCCCTGGTTCTTTTAGGGATTTACATAGGATAGCGGGCGTCGCCCAGTTAAGGTGAGGGCTGCAAAACACGCGGGAAAAGATATTCTTTGTATAAACTATGATTAAAAGTTGAGAGTTAACTGAAGCGGCTATGGTCTTTTACTCATAGCCATTTCCATTGAAGCCTCCCCGGGGCTTGAATTACTGTATTGTTCTTATTAAACATGCTTCAGGCTATGCAGTACTGTTTTCTATTTGTAACACAAAGTATAGGGGAAAATTGTAAATTGTGGTAGAAAATATCGTTCCCACTTTTAAACAATTATCTCCGATACAAGCCATCGACGAAATTATGACTTATCATTATGTTAATATTGAATTAGCAAAATTCATTTCATCTTGCTTTGATCTACGCAATATTCTACTTTCAAATCAAACCAATGTAAATTGATTGCTATATCATAACATTAATATATCATCACGATAATCGTTACTGTTTTAGTTATAGTTATTAAGGTTTTGCAACACTGTATGTATTTATGGTCATGCAAATAAAGCTAGTTGTTGTTGTTGTAGTAATAAAGCAGTGGAGTCTCTTACAGTCTCTTCGCCGATAACAACAGCAATTGCTGCAACCTGTGCGGCCAGTAAATCTTTTCGCCCGAAATAAGAGGTCTCACCCACCCATTAAGAAGAAAGGACGAATTTTTAGAATTTTAAATGTACATTAATATAGAATTTTAGAATGTTAAACTTTAAAGCGTTTCTTAGGACAACATGTACTCTTTTATTTCGTTTCATTGTTTGCCAAATGAATATTTCAATTTTAACTTTTTAAGAGAATCTTATAATACTATATTAATGAAAATTTTTAGGTAGAGTTCATACAGTGTCCCCAATTAGCCCACATGGGCTAAATACATCGACACTTAAATAAAGTTCTTACTTACTTATTTGCTTACTCACTTACCATCACAGCTGCGGCCATCAGCATTCAGTGTGTATCCGTCGCGACAATCACAGAAGAAAGAAGCTGGCAGATTTACACAAAGTTGTTCACAGCTGTTCGACAAATTATTTTGACACTCGTCAAAGTCTGAAAAATTAAACTTAAAATGTTCAGAACTTTGAAAAAGAGAGAAAATTTATCGTCAAAAAATTATTGGTGGTTTTTGAATAATAAGTAAGTAATACACAGGAAACTAGAGAATCTTAAACTCTTTTAAAAGTAATTTATATGGCTAGAAATACCAACGTCAACGTCAAGCCATTTGGTGTAGTCAGATAGAGTAATTGCAGCGTTCTTCTCTCGATAAATGTTAGAGGTCTCTTATGATGTTTAAACTCACCTACACAGTGAGCGCCATTTCCAGTATATCCTGATGGACAGGGTCCACATTTATACCCACTGGCATTGGCTGGCGGTGGAAGATCAATGCACTCAACTCCTGTATAGCACGGCTGACCATTACTCTCGCAGGCGTCAATGTCACTGTCACAGAATCTTCCTGTGTATCCCCCTTGACATGCGCAACCCATGTATACAAACTTGCTGTCAGTGTTGACATTGTCACCTTCTTCTGGTTGCACACACTGACCGCCGTGGTTGCAGGCGCACATGTTAATTGTTGGACTCCAGGTGGCACTTGCGCCTTTGTCATCAGTAGCAACGAATGATAGATTGAACTACAACGAAAGAAGGTGAAGGAAATTGGGATCTGGTTGTTAACATACGATAATTAAAGTAGTTATGTCATAGAAGTCTGATATAGATTTAGCCAACCCTAAATGCGAAGCTGCTGCGCCGGGTTATTCAAGGCCCGATTAATCTGATCAAGGATAAGGGAGAATTTTGATTTGACTTTTGTAACTTTGCGGTGAGGTTTTCTGTATATTGTTTTGCCTTCTGTTTAGAGTACTAGTTTGAATAATCTCAAACTACACAAAACAAAAGCAGTGAAAAACATTTATATACAAGAAAGATGTATACTTCAGTTAATTTCAATCCTGGGTTAGCTTTAACAGGCTTCCGAACATCCCGGCACTGATTACAAGAAGTTAACCTGGCATGAGCTCGCGATCCAATCGAAAAGCAGCACTTGGTCAGCGGTCAACTCAAAAAAACACATGACCTGAGCTCGAAACTTGAGCCCGCGATATGGTCACGTGATACTGGTCAGCGATTCCTTGATTCCGGTATCAAAGAAGGACGCTATAACAGTCAAGGCTGCATGTCTCTGTCAACCTATTTACTGGAGTATGACCGCCATCTTGGGCGACTCCGTCGTCGCCGTCGTGCGTACGCGCCCACGAGCAATACCGCTAGCCATGACAAACATGAGAAAAGCAAGTCATGGGTTTTCTTTTCTTTCCCATATGGTTGTGGTGCTCCGCTTGGCGGTCTTTCGGGCCGCCGGAGCTCCGCTATAAACGTCGGCTTCACTTTTTGAGATAATCGTCTCAATCTTTGGTAGTTTTACTGCATGCTAACCTAGTTCCCAGGGGCTCTCATTTCCCCACCCCTGGGAACGAGGTTGACTGAATGCGTGTTCGTTAATGTAGCCTACCTTTTGTGACGAGGTAACATTCCATGTAAAGTACAACTCGTTTCCAATTTGGCTCACTGTGGCTCCAGCAGGCTCGTTAATCACTCGAAATGTTATTGTATCGCTATCCACAGCAGTGATATTCAACTCAACTGTTTCATGAAGTGTGGCATTTATCACATTTGATTCGGTTAATATCTTGGGTGGGAAGTTGTCTGAGAAGACAATACGTGAATGAACAGTTGGACAGTAAAGTAATTATCGTATCTACCAGCCAACTGATTCAACTTCGAAAACCGAGAAGTGGATTTACTGCTTGTCGAGTTCTATTTTATTGTTACGTATACCCATGGTTAATAGAGGGGACTGGTTATGAAACCCGGCAAACATCAAAGGAGCAAACAAAGATGCCAAGATTCATGTTGGAAGGTCCACGACCGTGCACAATCTTTTGTTTTGCGCTCATACACTATGCATGAATTACGTAACCAACACGTTTCTATTGGTTAGTTCCTCAGTATGGAGTAAACAGCTATTGTATTTTGTGCACGGTCAAGGTCAAAAAAGAGAACAAAAACTTACTACAAAGAACTTTGTCGAGTTTCATAACCATTCCCCTCTATTAACTATGGTATACCTAATATTTTCGTACGATCAAAGCTTTGCACGTATCAGACAACAGGCGAGTTAAACAGGGAAGTATTACATAAATTATTCAGCTTCATTTTAAATATTTCAGGGAACAAATATATCATATAAGAAAAAAAATGAAAAGTTTAACTTTTCGGTTAATAAAACTAGGACAAAATGTTTGTTTGTTTCGGAGATCCTGGTGAGCAGGAGAGCATTCCCTCTCGTCATCGACATAAACAGGACTGTTAATGAGATTCAAGAATTTTGTTAAAGTTATGATTAATCATGTTATTCTCCGTAGCTTACCCAGTTTGTTCGATTCGTTAACCAACTGAACGTTTATGCCCTTCGTTACCATGCCAACAGACAGGTCATTCGTAGAGGCCGCGTCAAACAGGCATTCGCGATCTTCACCACATTCTCCTTCAGCTTTTTCTCTTAAACTGTCGTTATGCCATGTGATGTTATCCGCAAACATGGGAACGAAATCAGTGTTTTTAAAGGTATCCACGCTTTCATTTTGAGCATAGGTGAAGAGTGACTGGGATTGGTTGATTTGCCCTAAAACAATTGAACACGAATCAACACAGATATCAGGACAAGTTCAATCTATCAATATTCTATCCTTATTCGCAGGCCGAATAACATAAATGAAAATCTAACATGCTTACATTTTACACCAAACTTGAAATGAATCTCCTTTAAAGATAACGATGATGGCAAAACTGATCCATTAGGCAATGTAAAGTCGTCATCCGGGTCATCGTTCCACGTTCCCAGCAAGCCTTTGGTGGTATTCTTGTAAACGTCTGCTGGAGTTACGACGAACGACAGCATCTCCTTTTTCTCACAGAAATTCACCGACATTGTTGACGGGAAAGAAACCTGCAAACAGTTTTCTTCCGATTTTGAGACAGAAAGGTTTCTACCAACTTCTACACTTTGGTTTGTCAGCTTGTCGTAGTCTTCGTAGTTTACTTGGTCTATCAGAATATCGATTCCACCTGAGGACATGGAAAACAATTAATTTTACAAAGTAAAACATTTATGTATTTTTCCATATTAGTCCAAATGGATTTCTAAATATTTGGTGTCTCCTCAGTCTTTGAGTGTATCATAGATCGCAAAAAGATTGTTACTGTTTAAAAAGAAAAGTTTCTTGCTGGTGGTTCAACAATGGAGCGTTTTCAAATGACGTCCCGGCAGTCATATTGCTGTTCCATAACAATGAAACAGCAGCCCTGTTAGTATCCCAAACCAATCTTGTGGTAGTTGAACTCTTTTCTTATGTTAACACTTCATTTTCTTCTTATATGCCCTGGCATTAACTAGGATTTCGCTGAATGCTATTTTGCGGTCTCTTGTCCTGTTTACTTAAAGTCGTCTACCAAAGCTACCCATTTTTTATGGATCATTTTGTTGCTTGAAAATAGACTACTTTCGGAATTATGATGTAATATATCAAACACAAGAGACAGTGTTTCATCGGGATATCCAAACACCGAGAAGAGAGTTGACGCGCAGCGGAGCATTTTTGACGCAATTCCAGGTTTTTGGATAGGCGATGAGACACTGTCTCGAGTGTTTGATAAATCTTTTCAATCGAAACAAACACAAAGGAGTAAACGGAGAAGTAAAATCGTCAAAATCTATGCTAATTAAGACCGGGTATCCAAACCTCCTTCACGGTTGGGATTTTCTCTGTTTTTTACTTGATGAATTATTAATGATAAAAAATTGCGTAAAACATTCCGTAAAAGCATATAAAAGTTTGTTGACGACGTTTCGACGTTTGTGTAACGTCATTATCAAGTCAAAGATGAAAAGCATCTCGTAAAAGCACCTCGTAGACAAGACAAGACATCTTGTCTACGAGATGCTTTTCATCAAGGAGCGCAATCCCAGTTTCAACACGCAGACTGATTTCATTCGCGCAAAACTCTTTGTTTAAAAGAACATTCCATCACCTATTGTCTTTTTAGTATTTAAATATTTTTTATCATTCACTCTTTGACTTGATAATGACGTTAGCCAAACGTCGAAACGCCCTCAACAAATTTTTAATATGCTTTTACGGAATGTTTTACGCAATTTTTTATCGTTAAATGTTTTAAAAAAATCGCTTCTTTTTCGAATTATTAATGAGTTTGAGAAAATCAGTGTCATCGTCACGATGATCAAAAGCAAACACATGTGTTCATGTGCATTCACTTAAACTATTTTACTTCTGTTGTAAAAACAACTTCGCACATATTTTGTGGTAAATGGTATATGTATATATATCCCTCACCGCCTTCCTTCACTCGGACTTCGATGGTGCTCGTATTTTCTTCTTTAGCTGCGCCGGCTGAGAAAATAGTGGCGGTTGTTAGATTTCCTTGCGCAGCTTTTGTTCTGGCCTGTAGCTGGAATGCTCCATTTTGTGCATCAATCATGACGTATTCCTCAAGTCCATTGAACGTGTAATTCCCACCATCCAGAGTCTTGAAGTGAGGATCACCCCAGAACCAACCTAGAACAATCAAACTGGATTCAGTGTCCTCGTCAGGAAAAAGGAAGACGGCATTATTCTTGCTGATCTGGTTCAAAATACTTTGTCAGCTTTTTTTTTTTTTGCAAAGTCACCTTTGGTATGGCATTCATCGTCGTATTGTCATTGTTACCTGCCATGGAGATTTGAGTGCATTCAACACCATGAGGGCAAAACCAGTTCA